CTCAGCTCTTCGCCTCCCAGCTGTTGCCTACGTATATTTCATCAGAGAACCTTTTCACATCTTTGAGGCATGTGGCTCTATGCCATTGTCAGTTGGCTAAAAAATAACTTGGAGGTGTGTATTTCTTATGACAAAAGTAGGTTTATTCATTTTAGAAATACAGCAAGCCTGGATGGTGCCATTGATTTACCAGCGATTTAAACTTATTCCCTTGTTTTTCTTATGTATTTTCTGAAGTTTCTACGAAAGTTTAGCTTTCAAACAAAATATTTAATGTTTCAAAAGGAAAAAAAATGCAAGTAAGCAAAAAAGTTATTCATTAGAGGGAATCACTATTAACATCATCCTTCTCTCAGGCCTTTTCGTTTGCACATGTGCCATTGACATTTTTTTTTAAAAAAAGAGATTATTGTTACACAAGGGCAGGCTAACTGCCATAGTGACCCTCGGTTTCAGTGGGAATAAACAGAAAAAGTCTATTTCCAGCTCATGGTCTGGGGAGGGTGCTAGGGAGTAGTGGGGGTGCTCAGCTTGGTCCCCGTCATGCGGTTTCCTCCTCTTGGCCTTCAGGGTCCTCCCCATTTAGCAGAGAGGTGGAGAGAATGGAGGGTGCTGAGTGGGAGGGTCTATGGGCCTGGTTTAGGAGAGACCCCTTCATTTCTGCCCACGTTCCATTGGCCAGAACTGAGTCATGTGATTGCCTCTAACCGCAAGGAAGGCTGGGAATTGTAGTTCAGCCACGTGCCCAGGTAGAAAAGGGGAACAGCTGGTTGAATAAAGGAGCAGTCTACAACTCAGTTGTATACCGTTTGGAAACTTTTCTTTTCTAACCCAACACTTTATTTTAAACATATTTTTGTATGCGGAATCTGGTTACCTCTCCATCTGCACTTTACATAAGAGCTCCACTGTCTCTTGCCAGAATCTCTTAATTCTTCTCCCTCCTCCTGCTCAGGTTCCCCTCTAGCCCATTCCCCACGGTGGCTCTTTCAAAAACTTAAGCCACATTTCCTCACTTCTCTGCTTAAAACTTTGCAGTGCTTCCCGCAAGCTGTTGGAGTAATGTGCACCCTCAGCCGAGGCTGTCCTCTCTGGTCCTTGACCCCACCGTACTCCATGCTGCCCTGCTCAGCTCGCTTCCCCTCCCCTGCCTCCCCCTCCGGACCTTGTTCTCAGCCCTGCCTGGAACCTGGGTCCTGCCTCTTCACTCTGCCTCCTTCAGCTCCTGTCTTCTCTCCAAAGAGGCCTGTCCTGACCACCCAGCTGTAAATTTTCCACCCCTCTCCCTCTACTGAGTTGGCTTTTGTGTAACTGTCATTTTGTCTTTAAAGTATTTGCCACCATCAGAAATCGTATATATAACTCTGTCTTCAGATATCGTGTCCGGCACGTGGTGGGTGCTCAGTGAACACTTGTGGGATGGAGGAATGTCATTATGGGTTCTCACTTGCTTTTAATGACAGTGTTCTAGCCCATTGCATGGAATTAGCTATCTGCTATTGAGGGCCTTCTAGATTTTTTTAAATTTTAAAAAAGCTTTGGTTAATAACCAAAGCTTTTAGCTAGTTTTTTGTTTTATTTGCACCTATCTTTGCTTTCCTTGGGAATGATTCCTAAATGAGGCTTTATCTAGTGAAAGGGATTCTACACAGAATTTTAAGGAGTTTGGTGTATATGGCTCTCATCTTTCAGGAAGACTGTTGATTTCTGTTTCCCATACAGTTAAGAGCTCTCGTATAATGAACTCTTCTTCATACACCAGAAAATAGACTGACTGGGGTGTGTGTGTGGGGGGGTGAGTAGTCTTGTCTTCTTTATTGCTGTATCCTTAGATTTTAGAACAAGGGTTCTAAATTTTCATTAAAAATTACCCTTTGAATTTATTTTTAATCATTAATTCATATAAATGTTGCCTGATTTTTGCCTACTTTTGGAAGGTAGGCCTGCCAAACATAAGAACATTCACCTTACATTACTATAAACATCAGGGAACCAGGTGTCAGTACTTATCTTACTCCTTCAAAGCCAGTTCTGGTTTAAGTGAGCCCACTATCAAGTCTGGTGGAACGTCCAAGACTCCACCCAGGATTTCTGAAAATTCCAAGAAAGAGGCAGTTTCCCACCGGAGTTCTCATCTTTTGTGCTGTGGCTTGTGACTGCCTGTACCTGGATTTCCTTCCTACACGCAGCCGCGTCTCTGGCTCCTTCTGATCGGTTGCGCGTGCGAGACTAGGGTGTGCGGGCAGAACTGCTGCTGGACCGGAGCTGGTCGGAGGCAGGACCTGGTGTACTTAGCAGATACCCCAGATTCTGCTCCATAAAGGCCACATCAGCCTTCCTGCGGCCAGATCAGACATCTGCTGCTCCTTCGGCCAGCTGCAAGGGTTGGCCTGGAGGTCTGCCGCTTTCCTTGAGCGGTTTCCACTCTCTGCGGGTTGCAGTGGAATTCCCCCCTGCACGGTAGTAGTTGGCAGAAAATTGCTGGTTTGAAGTATCTGTGATGGTGGGAGGGGTAGGTAGAGAGGGGAGGTGGGGGAAGTAGGGAGACAGAAATTAGGTGCCTCTTCTCTAGCAGTTTCTCCTTGTCTTAGCCCGTTTTTGCATTGCTGTAAAGGAATACCTGGAGCTGGGTAAGTTATAAAGAAAAGAGGTTTATTTGGTTCATGGTTCTGCAGGCTGTACAAGAAGCATGGCACCAGCACCGGTATCTGCGTCCGGCCAGGGCCTTGGGCAGCTTCCCCTCACGGCAGCAGGTGAAGGGGGGGCTCGTGTGTGCAGAGATCACGTGGCGAGAGAGGGAGCAAGAGAGACTGAGGGGAGGTGCCAGGCCCTTTTTAACAACCAGCCCTGGCAGGGAACTAAGAGCAAGAACTCTCTCATTACCTCAAGGACAAGGATGCCACCAAACCGTTCATGAGGGCTCTCCCACCAGGCCTCACCTCCAACACAGGGGATCAAACTCAGCATGAGGTTTGGCAAGACAGACACCCGAGCTATGCACCTGTCTTCCATTTCTTCTTTTGAACGAGGTCTCATTCCCTCTCAAGTCAAGTTGGAACCCCTCAGCCTGGCAGACAAGGGTTTCGTTTCAAGCCGTGATTTTTCCTTTATATGCTGTGGGCATGCGTGGGCCACATACTCTTCTTACGTGTGACAGAGAACTCCGCTCAGGCGTGTTTTCAAGTTTTGAACTATGTATAGGAAACAATTTCCCTGTGACGTCCTTTGAGCTGAGCAGGCCCTGGGAGGCATCAAAGGACTAGCAGCAGGGGACAGCCTGCTGTGAGGAACAGAAAAGAGCCGTGGCCTGCATGGCATCCAGAGCTAAGGAAAGAATCCCTGACGCCCCGCCCCGTGAGTTTGCCAGAGATAGTCAGGGTGTCCCCGCGGTGCCTCAAAAACCAAGGGAGGAGTTCTTTAACCCCAGCGCTTCTGCTAACACGGGGATGCTCTTATGCCATAGTAAGGTTGTGTTTCAGTTATCCCTGCCTTGGCCGGTGCTGCTTTTCATCTCTTAATCCTTCCCCGAGGGCTGCCAAACGTTTCAGGTGCTGCTGAACTTGAGTGCAGGCCACGTGTGAACGATCATAAGCGCTGACAAGCTGAGAGCGCCGTGGTCACCGCGTTTGTGTGCCTCGCTGTGTCTGCACATGGGCGGCCCGGGGTCAGGGACACACGGCTGGATGGAAGATTCCCAGAGTGTGAATCACCTCAAAGACGTGCTCCGATCGTATGTGTCTGTATTTGATCTATTTGGCGCGTTGACAAAGGTCCGCCCTCCTGTTCTTCCCGTTTTGTTTTGCCCTGTCTTTATCCCCTTCGACGTTGCGTGATCACTTAGGTTTTCTTTCCCTCGCCGGGGTCTCGATTAAACATATTGGTAGATGGATTTCCTGTTACTTCTCTCTGGCCGCTCAGCACTTGCGTTCTCCAAGACTCAGTCCCTGCCCGTTTTTCCTTCTCACTCTTCTTGGATAATGTTCCACAGGCCTTTAGCTATAACTGTCAACTACCAGCTCCACACTGATAACTCCCAAGTCTCTGACTCAAACCAGATGTGTCTCCCCATCCAGCCATCGATCTTTTCCCATCTGGTAGGTCACAGGCATGTTGGACTGGAGCCTCTGTTTCAATTCGCGTTAACAGTTTGTGGGCCACACTGGAAGCTCAGCAGTTACCCCAGACTCCTGCCTGCCACTCCTCCCCGGCCACCTCGGCTACCCGGAATGTCCCAGCCCTTAAATACTTCTCTCACCCATGCCCTCTGGCATGGTGTGTCACAGGGCCATGCCTGCCACCTTCAGTAGACCCAGGAGCATTTCAGGTTGACATTTCAAGGCCTGGCGTGTAGGAGCTGCTTAGGAAATATCGGAATGAATGAAGAAATGGGTGAATGAATGAATGAACAAATGAACAGTTGACTGATTGCTGAGACACTTGGGATGATTTCCATTTATGATAGTATTTTTTTCTTACATTTTTTTACTGGAACCATGGAATTATTTTTGCTTGCTGATGCCAACAGTTTGAAAAGTACTGTAATTTCGAGGAAATATTTTACCATATTAAACTCCTTTCTATCCCAGGCCACACATACAGATATATAAACTTCAAAGGAGGAATTATTTGTTATATGTGTGCTAACTTGTTGCGTTTGGACATTTCCCTCAGTGGTTTTATGTATGTGATTGTGCTCTTGGTACAACTGGGAAATAGTTCCTTTAAATGTCAGGAATAATTGATGTTAATAACCTAGTTGGAATTAAATTTGTATTTAATTAACCTGGATGGTGTAAGTTTCTAGAGTCAAAGAATTTTAGAGCTGGAATGTTGCTTTTTGAAGTTCAGTGTAAGGAAGAATTGCTTATGCTTGACTTGATTTGCTCTGTAGCCAAGTACTGGACTGAGTAGAAATTGCTGACTTTATAATATTGGGTGAAAGGGAGCCATTGAAGATCAGTTTTTAATCTTTTTTTTTTTTTTTAATTCCATTCCAACAGGGAGAATCCCGTATTCTCAGAGTAAAAGTTGTTTCCGGAATTGATCTTGCCAAAAAGGACATCTTTGGAGCCAGGTATGTTTGCTTTGTTTTTCTTTCTGGTGAATTCTGCAGAACTTGGCAAATACTTTTCAAATTTAGGTGGATATCAGAATTCCCTGGAAGGTTTCTTAAAATGAGTTCACTGGGCCCCACCTCCAGACATTCTGATGTACTAAGTGATGCTGCTGCACCTGGTCCAGGGGCCACCTTTTTTCGGGGAGGGGGGGGTTTGCACGGTTTTGCATCACAACAGTAGTGAACAGGTTGGTCCTTCGTATGGGCTGACTTCATGAGGAAATTAGGTTCTGGTGTTTTTTGTTTGTTTGTTTGTTTTTTCTCAGTAGAAAAATACAGTTTGGGGGCCAGGTGAAATGGCTCACACCTGTGGTCCTAGCGCTCTGGGAGGACAGGGCAGGAGGATCGCTTGAGCTCAGGAGTTCGAGACCAGCCTGAGCAAGAGTCAGACCCGTCTCTACTAAAAATAGAAAAATTAGCCTGGTGTCTGTGGCACATACCTGTAGTCCCAGCTACTCAGGAGGCTGATCCCAGGAGTTGGAGGGTGCAGTGAGCTATGATGACGCCACTGCACTCCAGCCAGGGCTACAGAGTGAGACTCTGTCTCAAAAAAAAAAAAAAAAAAAAAAAAAAAAGTAAAATTGATTCAGATTGTATTTCTCAGCCTGTTAAGAAGAGGTGAAGTTAAAATTATAGAGGAATTGGGTTCCAGATCTTAGAAGAGGCAAGCACATCGAGCCTTGCGCTTTGACTGTTTATGTGATCGCGGGCAGGTTCGTTTCTAGGGGCCAGGGTGGAGAGGAATTATCCTTCAGGATATTAATCAGAAAGATAAATGGTGTGTGGCCTCATGGACCAAGTGCCAGAGAATGAGTCAGAAGCTCTGAACGCTGGTTCTGTTCTTCATTTTCTTAAATTAATAAATAGACACACACACCCTCCCCCTGCCTGCCTCTCTCAGCTGCCAGCTTTCTCCGAAGCTCTGTAAGGCCCCCTCGCGGGTGGGTCTCCAGTGGGCGCGTGAGGAGGCCGTGGCGGTTAGTGCCAAGTTGGCTTCTCACGCTGGGGTGTCACCGCCTCATAGTTTTGCCAGATGACTTGCACTCTCCCTCCACGTTATCTTGGGCAAATCTTTTAAAACCGCTTGTGTCCCGTATGTGAGTATGAAACAAGGGTAACAGTTCCTTGTAACGGGCGTGCTGGAGTCGGGGAGGAGCCCCAGAGCGACTCTCGTGGTCTGCAGCTCTGCCGTGTTGTCAGGTGGCATCACAGCGTGCGCGGGTTCCTGGCGTGTGTTCTCTGCCGTCGTCCCCCGTGCCCTGCAGAGCCCCGGGCCAGCAAACGTGCCTTCTCTCCCGGCCTCGGCACTGAGTGTCCCCTCCAGCACTGCGCACGACTGGACACCTCATTCTCTTCTGCCTTGGCAGGAAAAATGCTGGATAGGAGTTGGAACCCCTGCGGTAGACAGGATAATGGATGGGGGAGGAAGGGCAGCTTTCATGAGACGCATGGTCAGAAATTTGCGCATGGTAGAAATCCTGTAGACATTGATGTGTTTAAAGACGGGGATTTATGGTCTGTGGGGCTCCCCCTCCTTTGTCTCCAAGGGAGTTTGCCTGGGCCACTTGGCCTGAGGTGGGGGGTGGTTGGAGGGGCAGAGTGAGATGGGCGGGCGATGGTGGGGGAGTAGAGCACTTCATCTCTCCCTGCCCCCCAGGGGATGGCGGGAACTGCCAATGGCTGCAGCTCAGAGGACTGGAGGTGGTGGGGCCTGGGGCCTCCCTCCCTCCCAGCTGCAGTCGGAGGATCACCCTCCAGAGGCCTGTGCCTGAAATGCCCTTCTCCTTTTCCGCCTCTCTGCCCCAGGCTGGGGCTTAGGATACAAGATCGTTTTCCAGCTTCTTCCAGTCCAGTCTCGCTTTGTTAAAGGGACCTTTGTTGGAAGAAGATTTGATAATTGAGCTGTCGCTGCGCTTGAACATTTGAGCAGTTGGCGTACATGGAAAACAGCAGCAGTAGAGAAAGATGTCTCCCTTTGGACCATACCTTGAGGTCGAAAAAGGGCAGTCATACAATCTGTCATCTAAACTAGGACACTTTTGTCTGGAACAAATGCTAAATCGAATGGGATGTCAGGACATAAGATGTAAATCGAGACTGTGGTCACCCTGGGTCAAAGGCATTCAGTCTTTATTATCCATACAATGGAAAAAAATGCAATGTGATTTTTTTTTCAAAACGGTTTTTAAAAAATGCTGAGCAAAAGAAAATCTAACCCTTTAAAAAAGCAGGCCACATGTAAAATGTCGCTAAGACTCAAAAGGGAAATAAAACCCTGCTCAGAACAAGCCTACATAGGGTGACCCCAGCACACGCTTGTTTGCCTGTGCACCCTCTCCTGAGGATGCATCCCACCCTAACCCCACGCAGATCTCGGGACCCTCTCATGGCTTGTCCTTAATGCCTGCTCACTGGGTCCCTATCTCCTCCGTTACACCGGCCACCTCCCCAGCCCCCAGCAGATCATGTCCTGTCTCCGGTGTGCCCATACTGCCCGGGAAGCACTGTGCACACTTCCATCAGTGGGCTTGACTTGTTTTATGTTCAGAATTATTTCTTTCTCCCAAACTAGATTTTTAACTTCTCTTGGCTAGGATTATATTTTATTTGTTTTTTATTTTCCTTGGCCTAGAACAGCACCTTGCACCGTACTCAAGAAGTATTTACCAAAACATATCCTCATGCACATCCTCCTGAAAAATACATTGCACAAAAACAAGCATTGCTGCCTTCTTGTCAACATCAGTAGACTCATCAAGCTGGATTGTGTACCATGGTGACTCATTAATCCTCTCTAACAATTGTGCCTCAGTATCCTTTGCTGTTTCATCAGTTTATCTTTTTTTTGTTTGTTTTTTGTTTGGTTTTTTTTTTTTTTGAGACAGAGTCTCGCTTTGATGCCCAGGCTAGAGTGAGTGCTGTGGCGCTCAGCCTGGCTCACAGCAACCTCAAACTCTGCGCTCAAGTGATCCTGCTGCCTCCAGCTCTCCCGAGTAGCTGGGACTACAGGCATGTGCCACCATGCCCGGCTAATTTTTTTCTATATATATTAGTTGGCCAATTAATTTCTTTCTATTTATAGTAGAGATGGGGTGTCACTCTTGCTCAGGCTGGTTTCGAACTCCTGACCTCGAGCAATTCGCTGCCTCGGCCTCCCAGAGTGCTAGGATTACAGGCGTGAGCCACCGCGCCCGGCCTCATCAGTTTATCTAGTTAAGGTGCTAGCTGAAAGAGGGACACGTGCCACCTTTTTTTTCCCCAGCATATTATGGGGGTATAAATTTTAAAGTTTCGAATAATACCCTTGCCCCTTGTGCCACCTTTTGAACTGCAGCCTCTCCTAAATGTTTGTGGTGAATGTCCTTAGCAGCAGGCAGGATCAAGTCTTCGCCAGTGGTAAAGGGCTTCTTAGCTTTGGCAATGCGGTTAGCCAGTAAGAATGATGCGCTCAGTGCAGACACGTTGGATGAAGTGGTGGCCTTCAATAATTGCTTCTGTTCTTTGTGTGCATGTTTTTTCCTTTTGATAAACCCAAAAGCTTGTCTTTTAATGCAGGGTGCTTGGTCTTCATGTGGGTGAAGCAGATTTGAAGGTTCATGGCTTCGTTCCATAGCCAGTGCCGCATATTATACAGACTGGGCTTGGAGAAATGTGAATCACCTGTTGCAACGAACTCATAATTTAAGTAGGATCTTGGTATTTTCTTTTAAATGCCAGCTTTCCATTTTGTGCAGTCTTAGTCTTCTGCTGCTCATCATTAGGTCTTTCCCTTTTCGTTTTCTTTTTTTTTTAGAGACATAGTCTTGCTCTGTCACCACCAGGCTAGGGTACCATTGTTCAGCCTAGCTCACAGCAACCTCAAACTCCTGGCTCAAGCAATCCTCCTGCCTCAGCCTCCTGAGCACCTGGGATTACAGGTGCGCACCACCACGCCTGGCTAATTTTTCTATTTTAGTAGAGATGAGGGCTTGCTCTTCTCAGACTGGTCTTGAACTCCTGACCGTAAGAAATCCTCCCCCCCTGGCCTCCCAGAGTGCTAGGATTATAGGGCCTGAGCCATGACGCCTGCCTCTTTCTCCCTTTCAAAGCAAGCTTTCAGCCATGATAGTTTTTAACTCCCATTTGTGCTAGGTTAGCTTTTGGCTTTCCAAAGCGTGACTGAGAATAAGAGTGCAGTGTGGGAAGAGGTGCAGATGGAAAGTGGTGTAATAATGGGTGGGGCCATGCGCAAGACTAAAATATTAATATCTGGTCAGATTCTGACTTACATCTTGCCACCAGATGCAGCTTCATTGTCACCTTGCCACTCACTGATAGGGTTTTGATATGAGTCTGCAAGCAATGCTTTATTAATGGTCTCTGTGTAGTCAACCTCTCTGCTAACGATACCTGTATTCCAGCTGCTCCCAGCGCTAGCATCCGCTCAGTCCCACCTCAGGTCCATCAGGCACAGATCTCATAAGGAGCATGCAACCTAGATCTCTCCCATGAGCAGTTCACTGTAGGTTTCATGTCCTTATAAGAATCTAAGTCGCAGCTGATCTGGCAGGAGGCGGAGCTCAGTGGTGATGTGGGCACTGGCGAGAGGGTGGCTGTGGATGCTGGGAATATGGGTGAAGCTTCACTGGTTTGCCCGCTAACTCACCTCCTGCTGTGAGCCCAGTTCCCACACAGGCCATGGACCCTCACTGGTCCTCAGCCTGGGGTTGGGACCGCAGGACGAGGTGACTACTAATGTTCCTCAAAACCCTGAGATTTGGATAATGTAGGGATGATTTAGCCCCTTTTTGTAGCAGATTTAAGAAAACTGGCCATTGTAATTTGATGGCAGCTGAACTAAACTTTTGAACTAGATGAATGCATCAACTATTAGATTGAGAATAGGTGCATTTGCTAATTAAGATATTAAGTTTTCCTTTTAAAGTCAAGATAGCTTTTCGACTGTTTCCGACGTTTTT